TTTTTTGCAGCTTAGTGAACAATTACTTCTGTGGGTTAAAAGTTTCATTTCTGTTTGAATTTCAGTTTTTGGAAGCAGAACTATGCTTTGACATCCAAATGTTTGTAAGACCTTACAGCTTTGTCAAATAAGGGATAAAAGCAAGGCAGTATCAAATATAAGAGAAAAATAATTCTCTTATTATCTCTCATCTTTGAGTTGACTGTATTGTTACTTTAACTACCTCTAGAGTCTTATGAAATTTGTGGGGAATTATTGTTGCTGTTTGTTTTTAATATTTATTTATTTTGCCTACATGTACGTCTGCTTGTTACATGGGTGCCTGATCGCCGCACGGAGGTCAGAAGTGGGCACAGATCACCTGGCACTGGAATTAAAGGAGGCTGTGAGCCACCATGTGGGTGCTGGGATCTGAACCTGGATCCTCTGCAAGAACAGGTGCTCTTAACCACTGAGCTGACTCTCCAACCCTGTACTGGTTTTTGAAGATAGGGTTTCACTGTGTAGCCCTGATTGCCCTGGAACTCACTCTGTAGACCAAGCTGGCCTTGAACTCACAGAGATCCACCTGCCTCTGTCTCCTGAGTGCTGGGACTGCAGACAAATGTTACCTTGTCTATGTGAAGATGCTTGTGTTTTAACTTATGTTTGCATTTATATTTGCAGAATCAAATGTTTTCCTAATGGCACACACACAAAACCCTAAGCTTAGACATAAACTAGCTCCTCGTGTCTTTATAAACAATTTCAACACATTCGGGTTCTCCGGAAATAATTTAAACACAACAGTGAAATAATTTTTTTTTCTAGCTCTATGTATTTGAGTAACAAATATTTTAGGTGCCTGAGGCTGAAAAGGCTTGGAAAAGTCTGCTCTACAGTAACTGTCTCATAAGTCAAACTACTACTACAAAGTTTAATACGTCTCATCTATCTCCAGCAAGGGGTCTCCCTACACAATAACTTCTGTTTTAAAGCTGGAAGTTGGACCACCTTATGAAGCTCATGGTCTGCCACTAAGCTCTATCCCAGCATAAAAACATTCCAGCAAATCAGAGTGCTATAGATCTACAAAAGCTATGGAGAGCTTCTTAACTGTTTTGAAACCGACTGGTCAGATGATCTAAACTATTTTCATATGTATGGGTGTTCTACCTGCACATATGTCTGTGCACTACATGTGTGCAGTACCCAGGACTGGAGTTACACACAGCTGTGGGTTGACATGTAAGTACTGGGAATCGAACCCTGATCCACTGGGAAAATAACCAGTGTTCTTAACTGCTGAGTCATCTCTCCAGCCAGAGGAAAAAATGGTTTTGAGACAAGATCTCAATGTATCCCAGGCTGACTTTAAACTTTGGAGGTTCCACCTCCACCTCCTGAGTGCTGAGATTATGTGTGTGCTGCTGTGCCCAGCTGCCCCATTTATGCAGAGCTGGGGACTGAAGCCAAGGGTTTGCATATTCCAGATGAGCGCTCTACCAGATTCCTGACATGCAGCCTTAAAGAAAGGTTTTACTTCTGGATTAATCACATATTATTGTATTTGAAATCAAAAAACACATTCATCTTCCACACAACACCCTTTCCTATCTTTCACACCTGTGTTTCATGGTGTGCGAGTTTAGGTGCATCTCAGTCATTTGGTAGTTTTGTTTCAGAACATGCAAAAATTCAAGGTTGTGAGCCTCTCTGGGCTCCCAGTAATGTGGTTAATTATATTCAGATACCTAGGGATAGGATGAGCCACGTGTTTCCTTTCTTTTCTTGCATCACTTTGCATGCCTGGTGTCAAGGGAAGTCAGAAGAGGGTACTGGGTTCTCTAGAACTAGAGTTATGGAAGGCTGTGAACTACCATGTAGGTACTTGGGATCAAACCCTGATTCTCTGCAAGAGCAACAAGTGTTCTAACCTCTAAGCCATCTCTCTTGCCCCCTACCTGCTATGTATATATTCATCCATGTACATATTCATCCATGTACATATTCATCCGTGTAATAGTAATCCATGTAATATTCATGCGTGTACATATTCATCCATGTACCTATTCATCCAAGTACATATTCATCCACGCACATATTTAAAGAGATTATGTACTTAACAACAACAATGACAAGTTTTAAATTTACTTTAAAAACGTGTATGGGCGCTTTGCCTACATGGAAGTCTGTGCACATGTGTGCAGTGCCTGCAGGCTGGAAGAAGGTGTCAGATTCCCTGGAACTAGAATGACAGGCAGCTGTGAGTTGTACATAGATGCTCAGCTCGCATCCCAGTCCTCTGTACCAGAGCAGCCGGTGCTCGTAACCAGTGAGCCATCCCTCCAGCCCTCGGACACATTTTCTTGACACTTGTTACTTATTCACAGAAAATTACAAAAGAGCTCACACACCAAACTCAATCTTTTTTTTTTTTTATTTAAAAATCCACCTCAAAATTCAGTTCTGGGTTTTAGTTTTTGTTTAAAAAGAAGCGAACATTTAAAAGCATCCAATGTCACTAGTCTACAATTCACCTAGTTATGAACACTTGGCTTGTGGCCTGGAAAACAAGCACAGCACACAGATTAGGCACAGTACTGTGGCCAGTGGGCCAGAAATCAGGGCACATTGCGTATGCAGGCAACAGTTAAGAGGTCTGAACGGAGGGAGACAAGCCTCGGCTGTGGACATTCCATTCTGTGTCCCCTCCCAAGCCATTAGTGAGTCTCAGATCAATGCATAGAGATTGTATGTAACTTGGGCAGACAAGGGACAATGCTAGCTGCTTTCCAAGTCACATGGCAAAGCCAAGACAGACAAGTGCAATTACAGTGACAGTAATTCATGGTCTGAACATCCACACCACACGACGCCATGTTACAGGTGACAGAATCGCACCACTCCTTTGCTGGGTTCAGAGATCCAGCTGGGCGTATGCACGACAACAGGGTTTCACACAACAGCAAGGCTTCGATGGTTCGAGAACTGGGGCAGTGAATACAAATCACAGTACAAAATCCTTAATTCATTTACCCACCAGGGCGATAGGTGCTACTTACAAGGATCACTTAAAATGACATTTTCTTTTTTTAAATGCAGATATAAAACATTAATTGCATAGGGATTTAAATATAAGGCCAAGAAGAATATTAAGTAAAAAAATTATAGAAAGGGCACTATGGTGTCAAAAGAGAGGATTTCATTCTCAAGAGTAATAATCTTGAATTACTGTCTACTTAATTCAAAATCACAGTATGGTGCTGTAACTGACAGTGAATGCCAACGTTTCATTAATTCTAAACCAATATTAGGATTAACCCAAACCTCACTGGAGCTCTCTGTCTAAACCTGATCAGGGTATTGGCACGGCAGTGCCCTGTACGTACCTGATTAGTCACAGAATCCACCTTTTGCAAATAATGTTTAATACATGTGAACAAGGGTTAAGAGCAGACCATCAGTTCATCTGCAGGTGATTTGTGGGCCTAATAGTGTAACCGGAGCCAGTCTGGCAAAGGTGCAAGGTCCTACCCAGCAGAACCCTTCACACAATAAACCCAAAACACCAATTAACAAAAAACAACCAAGTTATACTATTAAAACCTAAGTATACATGAGCCAAAGAACTATGTCTTGACACCAGTATATACATCATCCCCGGTATTTTGGAAACCAACAAAGGAGAAGTCCAACTATATTCTACAGTTTAAGTTCATGGTTACCACCTTTACGGGAAAGCAAATTTGTGAACTACTTCTCATTTTAATGGTGTTAGCCTGTAGCTTCAACTGAAATTTCCAGAACTAAAAGTAGCTCATTTCATTTAGTATTGTTACATAGAGTAGTGTGAGGAGACAAAAGGAACTCCCAAGGGAATCTGTTAGGGTACGTCAGGAAGACCCAAGGGAATCTGTTAGGGTACGTCGGGAGACCCAAGGGAATC